CATCTCTCTGATCTGCGACAACCGTATGTCCCACCACGTTCCCTGAGGTCAGCGGACCAATTGCTCCTCACAGTTCCAGGAACTTGTCTTAAGCGCAGAGGTGACAGGGCCTTCTCTGTAGCAGGACCAAGACTCTGGAACGAGTTACCTCTGTTTGTCAGACTGGCCTCCTCCCTCTCGGTTTTCAAGTCCCATTTAAAAACTCACTACTATTATGTAGCTTTCAACACCAGATGATCTGTGTTTTGATCCTGTATGCTCTACACTGGTTTGTCGTCATTATCTGCATCGTTTTTATGTCTATATTCTGATTTACTTCATTTTGTATTTTGCTTTGTGTGTTACCTGTTGTTTTGTCTGTACAGCACTTTGGTTGGCCTTGTAGCTGTTTTAAGTGCTTTATAAATAAAGTGGTATGGTATGGTATACCATGCCATACCATACGTACCATATCATACCATACCATACCATACCATACCATACCATACCATACCATACCACTTTATTTATAAAGCACTTAAAACAGCAACAAGGCCAACCAAAGTGCAGTCATGGCCAAAGTGGTTCAAAATATCGAAGTTCATGCTCAATAATCCAGGTTGAAAAATCCAACCAAGTTTAGTCAGATCCTCTGGATGGTTTCGTTTTGTTGAAACATTTCATCTTTCATCCAAAAGACTTCATCAGTCCGAGGAGCCAAGCAGTTATGGCCATTGAACCATTATTACGTATGAATCAGGATATTGTGAATCACTTTGGCCATGGCTGCCTCAGACAAGTCAGCGGGAGCGACGGCGGACTCCAGAAACCATCTGAGCACCATCAAACTGGTTGACCCACTATGTGAAGGTGCTATTTTTAAGACTGGGTTTGTTTATGGCTCCTCGGACTGATGAAGTCTTTTGGATGAAAGACGAAATGTTTCAACAAAAAGAAACCATCCAGAGAATCTGACTAAACTTTGATGGATTTTTCTAACTGGATTATTGAGCATAAACCTTGATAATGTTGGCTTATGTTTTATCTTGACCTAGCTTGTCTTCTTTGCACCCATGAATGTTTTCCTGTTATTTTCATGTTTCTCAATGTTTCTTTTTTTTTTTCATGGTTCTTTTTGTTTACCATAGGCACCAGTTTACTACAGGAAGTTGTGTATCTTGTAAGTCAAGGAGCAGATGGAGGCGACCCTGATGAGATTGGCCTTTTGAACATTGATGAACAGCTGCCTGTGTTAGAATACCCAACACCTGGGCTTGACATCATACAGGTACGATCACCAACAGATTAGTATTAATTTAAATGGCTAGTCCCATCAATGTTGATCTGATGTTCTGTCATATACGTAGTTGTATAAAGTCAGTAACTTATCAGCCAAGATAGTCTATTAGTCATAGAGCATGAATTTTGAAGAAAGGGACAAAAGTCTTTGTCCAGGCTAAGATCATTGCTACCCAAATGAGTGCCAAATTTTGTCCCCTGTCAAGGAGCAAAGAGAGGGAATTGGAAATAGTTCATCCATCTGTCTGTCGGTCCATGCAAGTTGTGTGCAGCAGCAGGACGGCAGCAGAAAAGCAGCTCCCCGGCTTCTCTGCAGTCCTATAACATCAAACTAACCCATTTTTGAACCAGACTAAAAGTTTGGTCCCTTTTCCAACCGACTTCAGTGTTCAGTGGACTCAGAGAGCCAAACGGATCCATCTGGGAATTTTTCAGTCCAGGACCTGGACTGCTTCCAGCCCATCGGTCACACTGAGTGCAGACTGCCAGCTAGGTGGCCTTTCCAGTGGGGGAGACGTTGTCTGAAAGTCCGACGTTTTTTCTCCGGATTTCAACCAGACTTTCCATCTAGACCTCTGTGGTTCTGCACGGTTCCGATGGGGATTGTGATGTGGTTTTGTGCTGGCTTTCTGTTGGACCAGCTCTCCTCGTAGGTGTCTGCTGTTGGCCGTAGGGGAAGTTGACCTGAGGTGGGCCAGAACCGAGCCAGTCTCAGCTTCAGCGGGCAGCCTGATACTTCTCATTGAACGACCGGCCCCCTCCATGTGGTTTGCTGCCAGCTGCGTAGAAGCTGGACGGAACCAGACCAGAACAGAACCAAGCCAAGGATGGCTCCAGCCCCTATGGTCAGTTTTACCACTGCTCACCTGGAGGAAGCCTCTCGTGCTGGGAAGCGCCGAGGAAGAGCTGCTAGAAGGAAGACCGGCATCTGCATCGGAATTCTACTGATCTTTCATCTGCACTCACCTGAATTTTGGATCCATACAGGACCACTGCTTCAAAGCTGATCAGCTGAAGCATCTGTTCCAGATCACGCTGTTCATCGTCTGTTCACTTCATTGAGTTCGGTTCGGTCAGACCCTGAACCCGCGGAGGGCTTTAACTTATGTTTTTTTTTTTCTCATTTGGATCAGATCTCTGTTGATCCGAACCAAGCCAAGATCATGCCTTCCAGAATGAGTGGATTTTCCGGCAGCTCGCTCTGTTCTTTGATGTGGATTACCTATTTCTGCCTGCTGGTTTTGGACCCAGCATCTGTTCAACATGAGAGCAGCAACAGTGATTTGTCTGCACCGGGGAGCAGCTGGAGCTCCCCTCAGTCCAATTCAAACTGCAGTTGGACCACCATGCTGGGCTCGTTGGTCCATTTGATGCTGTCTGGTCTGAAAATTTTCTGCTCCATCCTCATCATTTTCAGATCTCTGACTATTTGGAGCCTCTGAACCTTGTTAATGCATCTGCCCTTCCCTACAAATTTCACTGTTTTGGGGTTCTGAGCAATAATGTCTTTATCAAATATTTTCACCAAGGATCGATTATGGGGGCTAAGTGTCACAATATTAACTCTTGTAATTACACATCTGTCACAAAAAATACAAGAAAATGTCTAATAATAATGTTGTTATTGCTCTCTGGGATCCAACCCAACCCTGGTCCCTCCCCACATTACAACACACAAAATGATTTAAAAAACATGTCACTTCATTTTTTTTGCACATTAACGCACGCAGCCTCCCTCCAAAAATTGATATGCTGAGAATGTGGGTCCATTCTTCTGGTGCTGATGTAATTTTCATTTCTGAAACTTGGCTGTCCAAATCAATCTTGGATAAGGAGGTGGCAATTGTGTAATTTACATCAGAGCAAGCCTGAATTCTAAACTGGTGTCAGCTAATAATGTTGATGTTGGCCAGCACCTTGCAGAGCTGATCAGCATAAGGTATCTGAGTTTGAAAGTTTCACAAACAAAAGGAATAATGAATAAAACCAGGTACATTTTAAATAAATAAAAAACATTACACATTCTTTACTATGCTATTGTTGTACCACATGGTAAATGGACTGTACTTATATAGTGCCTTTCTATCTTATGGAGATACTCAAAGCACTTTACACAACAATCTGTGCCTCATTTACCCATTCATACAGCACTTTACTAGATCTCTACAAAGCTAATTTAACAAATAATTTTAAAGAGACTAATCAGAACTTTATCACATTCATACACTGATGGGACACACATCAGAGGCAATAAAGGGTTCAGTGTCTTGCCCAGGGACACTTTGACATGGGACTGCTGGTGGATTCGAACCCCCAACTCTTGCATTAGAGGACGACTGTTCTAACCGCTCAGCCACAGCTGCCTGTGTTATTATATTGAAGTTTGGGAAAACACCTACAGAAGAAACCTACAAAAGTTATGCACATTGCAAAAAAAAAGCTACAGTGTAAGACTTATGAACCATTCAGGATATCAGACTCATACAATGAGAAAACAATAGTAGTAGTAATAATAATAGCACTATCTAAAAAAGGTAACTCTGGTCCTCTGGACATTCAAAAAACAAAACAACAAAAAAAAAAAAGAAACGTTTCGTCTTTCATCCGAAAGACTTC